GTCCGTGTGGAGGTTGAGGAGGGCACGCATGCAGAGGGGCTGCGCCATGATGTGGCTCAGTGGTGGCCGCTGTGCTGGCTCCAGGCTGAGCAGACTCAGGACCAGCTGGCGCAGCTCAGGGCTGTACCGGTCAGAGATGGGTGCAAAGGTGCCGCTCATGATCTTCAGCACCAGCGCCGGCAGGTTCTGTGAAGGCACCAAGTTGTGGGGTCGGCCAGAGCCTCAGCCCCGGCTCTCCAGGTGGTTTCGGCCCCAGCCGCTATCTGATGGGTGGTCACAGCCCTGTGCTCAGGAGACTTCAAACCCTACTTTCAGCCCTGGCCGGTCTGGCTCTGTGGATAGAGCGTCAGCCTGCGGACTGAAGGGTCCCAGGTTCGATTCCGGTCAGGGGCATGTACCTTGGTTGCGGGCACATCCCCAGTGGGGAGTGTGCAGGAGGCAGCTGATCGATGTTTCTCTCTCATCGGTGTTTCTGACTCTCTATCCCTTTCCCTTCCTCTCTGTAGAAAAATCAATGAAAAATATTAAAAAAAACAACCCTACTTTCAAGAACCTCTGATAGAGGAGCTGCGGCTACGTCCTCAGAAACCCCAGGTTGTTGGGAAAACTTAAGTTTTGCCTTTAAGAGGATCCCTAACCTGATGGGGGAACTCTGCCCTCAGGAGTTTAAAGGGGAGAACCAAGCCCTACCCTTGGGAATTCATCATCTGAGGGAAGCCACAGCCCTGCCTTTGGCTAATCCACTAGTCTGATGAGGGAGACCTGACTCAGCCACGGAGAAGAATCGCACAGGCAGGTGGAGCGGGGACTTTAGGGAGAGGGAGACAGAGATTTCCCAGTTGTCCCCTTGGGGGTGGTTACTCACCGCAGCCTCAAAGGCCCTCTTGAGGCTGGCCAGCTCATAGAGGACGCAGCCCAGGGCCCAGATGTCGCTCTTCTGGTTGTAGGGCTTGCCCTCACACAGTTCAGGGGAAATGTAGCATGGCGTACCCACCACCTGCAGGAGGGAAGCTAATATTACAGCCCGGGGCGGGAAGACCAAGGGCCACTTGGAGACCGCTTCTCCCCCAAGCAGGCCAAAGCACTTCTTCCTGCAGGACAACCCAGTCAGGAGCTAAGGGGCCAAGGCCTTGGGGGTGGAGTGGGGCATAGGGCTGCAGAGTGGACCAGTGGGCCGGGACCCTCAAAACCTCCAGCACCCTTGAGACTCCCTTCCATGCCCAGGCACCGTGTAGGCCTTGCTCTTGCTGCTAAGGATCTTGGAGATGCCAAAGTCGCCAATCTTGACGACCATGCGATGTTTGTCAAGAAGGATGTTTTGGGTCTTGAGGTCCCGGTGCAAGATGAGATGGGTGTGCACATGATGCAGCGCCAGCAGGATCTGCACAAAGAAGTGCAGAATGGTCTCCTCCTCCAGCAGGGAGTTACAGCGCTTTTGGATGAACTCGGCCAGGGTGCCGCCTGCAGCAGCAAGGGTTTAGTCAAGATTCTGTCTTTTCCAGGCCTGAGATTTTCCTGAGATGAAACTAAACCCAGACAGGGCAAATGCCTCCCACCCACCATCACACTACTTGCATCAGAATTCTATACCTCTGACCCTCAGCCGAGCCCATTCCAAGGAGGGAAGCTGGCTAATCTGTGTCTGTCTGTCTGTCTGTCTGTCTGAGAGGTGAGAGGCCCCTGAAGCCAGGCCAGTGCCAGGAACCTGGCCCACCTGGTGCGTACTCCATGGCAATCATGAGGGCCTTGTCCTCCAGGAAGTTCTCATAGTACTCAATGACATTGGGGTGGTTGAGCAGCTTAAGGACCTGACACTCATTCTGGGCTGCCTGCCGCTCCTCCTTGGTCATCTGCTCCACGGGGATCTGCTTGATGATCACCAGCTTCTGGTCCGCCTTGCGCAGGCACAGGTGCACAATCCTGGGGACGGACGCAGAGCACAGCAGGGGATGCCAGCTTAGCCTCCAGCCACACAGCAAGCTGGGAAGGCCTGGTGACTGGACGGTGACTAGACTTCCGAGAGGGGAACGGCATGCAGACTAAGAGGTCACCTGTGTGCACGGAACACTGAGTTTAGGAATGGGGAGAACTAACCACAAATTCTGTGAGACCTTATTTGAAACTCAGTTTCACCACAGGCACAATGAGGCAAAATTAGTCTTCATCTCTTTTAAATTTCCACAGACTCTGAAGTCAACCGCCAGGATTCAAATCCTAGCCCCTCCTCTTACTAGTTATCTGGTCTTGGATTACGTAACATCATCATCTGGAAAACAGAATGGACCTCACAGTGTTGTTGAGGTGTCCAGATAAGAAAATGCAGCCCTGCTGGCGGGGCTCAGTGGCTGAGTGTGGACCTATGAACCAGGAGGTCACGGTTTCATTCCCAGGCAGGGCACACGCCCAGGTTGCAGTTGATCCCCAGTAGGGGCTGTGCAGAGGGCAGGAACCAGGGGGCAACAGATGGATATTTTGCCCTCATTGGATGTTTCTCTCTTTTTCCCTCTCCCCTTCTCTGTCTCTAAAAATCAACTTTAAAAAATTACATATATTCTTTACTGTGCCCACTACATCCCAACTATACCATGCTTTCCCTCCGTTCCTGAATACTCTGAATTTTTCCCACTTGAGGACCTTCACATATGCTGTTTCCTCCACCTGAAAAGCGCTGCCTTCACCTTCGGACTATTCCTCATTTCTCCTGTCTTGGCTTTAAACTTCACCTCTCCTGGAAATGTCCTGCACTACCCCAAGTAGGTACGTCCCTGCAAGGTCTTGTTTATTGTGCTTTTTTCCTATAGTCTGTAAGCCCTGAAAGAGAAAAGACCACGCCTGCTTTGGTCTTAACTGTACACCCAGCGCCGAGAGCCTGACGCAGAGTCGGCGCTAAATATTTGTTGAATGAATCAAGTCCGGGATCAAAGACCAGAACCCTGCGTGGGCGCAAACGCTTACCGGGGGCGTGACCTCCGCCGAAGTCAGGTCTCCCAGCCGGGCCTGGGACCGGAAGTTGGGCGGGGCTTCCCAGAGCGGGCGCTCCCACCTAGGGGCGGGGCTAAACGGGCGGCGATTTCGCCGACAGAGTTGGGTTATTTTCCCTCTCGTGAGTGCTTTCCTCCCCCAGAGCCCTGGCTCACCCGAAGGCACCTCTTCCCACCACTCGGATCCGCTCGTACTTCTCCATCTCGTGTCTCAGTCACATTTCCGGAACCCCGACGCCCAGACGCGGCGCGTGCGCGGGCCCGCCCACTCCAGCAAGCCACGCCCACTCCAGTAAGCCACGCCCCGCTGCGGAGAAGCGCCCGGAGCCCGCGGAGTAACCTGTTGGCTCTGCCGGTACCTCGCCTGCAGCCTGGGTCTGCGGGGCCGCTTTTCCAGGTCCCCGGGAGGGAAGGGGCGATGTGCCATGTCTTGGCGCACTGTAACCTCCCCACCCTCGTGGCCGCATCCGGCCCTCGCAAAGCTTCCTAAGACCGGAGAGGCGCTCTTCGCAGACCGAGTGCGGGTGGAAAGCGGGGACTGACCTCTCTCTGTCCCCCTATTGGCCCACTAGTGACTGTTTCGGAAGGAACGCAGTTGCTCACTGGTTCCAAACGATACTCACTACCCAAACCGACGCGCTCGGTCCATCGGGCCCGGTCGGTGTCTTGTTTGCCTGGGGAGGGACCAGGGCAACCCCGAACTGTGCAAGTTGATTCACCTGCGGAGGATGTGACGCGGTCTCCACGCAGCCCGGGCCGGTGGACACCGCGCTCTCAGCATTGTCAGCCCCCAGCGTCACACACACAATGCCGCCACGGGCTCCTCTGCCTTCAGCATCCGCCAAACCCCTGGCTCGGGGGAACCTCCGTCAGGGAAGATGGGAGGGAAGGGGACCACTGTCTCACGAGTAAAAGCATCAGGGAGAAGAGGAAAGACAGCCTTTGGGCCTACATGGGTTCTAGGCTTCTGCCCAGAGGTTAGTACGATTGTTTAGGGTCTTGACCAGAAATCAGTTCAATTCCAGGTGTCTCCCTGACACCTGCTCTTCAGAAGTCAATACAAGCTCAGTTAAGGAGCAAGAGGATGGTGATTAGCTAAGGGATGGCGTCCCTACTTCCGAGTGGGTGGGGAGTGTGAGTAATGGGGTGTGTACCTTCTGCTCCCATCTCACCCCTCGAAAGGTGTCCAAACCTGCCCACGTCTGATGACCACTAGGAGGGCCCCAGGTGGGCCTCTCTGGACTCAGGCCAGGCTGGCTATGGGACAGCTGCTGTGAGCAGAGGGTGGCGGGAGCAAGCGCAAAGGAGGAAAGCCGCTCACCCAGGACACTCGTGCTCTCACCTAGAAACCGATCGGGCCTCGGCTGACCCAGGAGCCCCACAGGGTTTAATGTGTAACCCTGGAGCCATCAGGGGAGGCAAAGCAAACACCCAAACCTCTCGGCCCCTGGGTCTCTGGCGCGTCATGTTTCTGCCCCCCCACCCCGCACCTTTTCCCTCGTCCCCAACTACAACTTTCCTTTCCTCCACCTAACCCCCTCCCCCTTCACTTTTCTCACCCTCACCCCCTACTCCAGACCCGGCTCTTAGCTGCTCCTCCTTTCGCCAGAGTCTGGCT